ATTTTATATATATATTATATTAAGAAATTAAGGAAGTCTTATTGACGAACAAAGATATGTCGAAACTGGATAGTTTTAAACCATTTATAAGGTTTCTTACAAAGAAAGTGGTAGCAAAATGACAAAAATTCCTAATTGAGGTACATGGAAAGTTATCTGATGGACTGCTAGTGCAACCACCCAACCAACATATCTGTTGGTTGGAAGATACTAACGCTTTACAGTCAATCAAAAAGTCGTTTTATACTTACGTACTGCTATAGTATATGTACCGGAGTATATTTAGGAAGATTTTAGAAAGTACAAAGATTTACTATAACGTTTTCAAGAACTGAATGTAAAAAATCAGGAATAAATTGAAAGAAGGTCATTAAAGACGACCTTAGAATAATCACAATCCAAAACTGGTACATAGTATAGCTACATGGAGTCGACTGAATAAAAATTGTTTCAAAAGAATGCTTCATTAAAGACAGCAAAAAAATAAAATGTGGAACTTGTTTTATTATTATTACCCATAGAAAATTCCTATGAGGCTACGCTGTGAATAAATTCTGAGAATGTTAAATTATGCGTTACTATGCTCTACACAAAATAACAGTAGTCTAGACTGCCGTATATCGCAAACCCAGTTATCCTTACGAACAAACTGATCATAAAGACGACAGTAAGGGTCATGTTGTGCAGATTGTGATGTTTTAATAATTAATGTTTTTCAAATAAATTAAAAATCTGAGAATGACAGCAAGAAAAAAAAATTCGATTAAACTTGGGTGACTTGACAAATCTTTCTGTGACTCGTTGGTTAAACCTTTGTGGCTAGGTAATAAATGTCAAAAATGGCGCCTATTAGGAGTAATTATCTATATATTTATAAGCACATTAATACAAAAGTAGTTTACACTAAATTAAGGTACACAAAATAACGCAGAAACTTGACAATTGTGAAATGACTCTCAGTATAACATGTCTTTTGGTCATAAATTTTGTTCATGCTGTGACCATACGTCGTGTAACATGACTCTAACGAGGCTGACTTTAATATATATACGTATAATATAGTACAAAATTGCAAACTCACAGTATAAAAATGTTGTTAAAAACTATTAGAATTTTAACGAATTTTAACTTTGGGTAAAATGGTATTGTGATTGGTGTTATAATGTTTAGAATCCAATCAGAAAACCTAAATGAGTGCTATAAATGTCGATATTGTGAACCAAATTTCAAATGACGAACATAATCAATTCGAAATCGTTCTCTAGTGCCTTAAGAGAGTTAAGGCACTACTATACAGTAATCCCCCTATAACACGGTACCCTTACAACGCGTTTTCATATTACGCGATTTCAATCCCCCATATTACGCGGTGATTTGTACAGTTCATAATTAGTTTTGCGTACTTTTGCACGTGTGTATACGGGAATGGTACGGTATGGTATGGCATTTGGGGGTTTTCGGGTTAGTCTAAGGCCCCTATGCACTGCAAACAGTTTGATCTATTGTGCACCCCTTTGTATTTTGATATTTAGTATTACGAGGAATCGAACCAGCTCCTTCGGAAGAAGTTTTCGAAGATCTTCATCTTCTAGTTGGTATGTACCTAAAATTTTGTTTCTTCTGTGGCCTAGTGCATCGCAGTTGGTGATCAGATGTTTCATAGACTCTTCCTCATCACAGTAGAATCTGCAAATATTAATGTCTGATATATCTATTTTATGTAGGTGTTTGTTACATGCGGCGTGGCCTGTTAGTGCACCAGAGAGTGACTTTAGACTCTTCTTGCCTTGGTTGTGAGCGGTGTTTGCTCTTTTAGCATCAAAATCTAAGAATTTTTTGGAATGATATAGGCCGTCTATTCCATTCCAGTATTCATTGATACTTTTTGGATCCATTTTTTTGTGTCCTGTTTTATGTTTGTTTTATTGAAGCCAAAGAAGGGGGTTAGACCAATGAATGATCCTTCTGCCCCTTTTTTGGCATGAAGGTCCGCATTTTCGTTCCCTTCGTGTCCTTCATGTCCGGGTACCCAAATCAGAGAGACCTGGTTGTGGGTGGCCAGTTGGTTGAGGGCATTGTTACGCTCTATAAGAACTTTTTATGTGAATGTGTAGCTTTTTAGAGCCTTGAGACCTGATTGGCTGTCTGAGAGTATATTAATTTTAACTCTCTTAAGTCCTCTTTTGGATAAGATGAGTATACAGGAATACTCCTATAATGCGTTTTCCTATAACACGAAACCAATCTACAACGTTACAGCGGGGATTACTGTATATGAAATATTCTTCATACATATTTTAATTTGAAGGTATATCAAAATGCAGTAATTAGACTATATTCTTTTACAATATGATAGTTGCATTGCATTTACCATTAATTGTGAACATTATTGAAATAGCTTGGTGTCGTATGTGATCTGGAAGCATAATTGGACTGGAGATTTTTTTTTTTTTGTGAGAATGGAAATGACCTTACAGCGCTTCTTCTATTAGTTTAGAACACTACAAGAACACGACCAGCGATTTTTGTGTCATGAAAAAAATACGATTTCAACTTAAACGATGTGTGATAGCATCATGCTACATGTCTAGTAATAATCAATAAATTTATTGAGAAAAAATTTAAGAATATATAGCACTTATTTGATTACCTTTTTTAGAATCATGAAATGCTATCACCAGTTAACCTTTCGACCCTAAACGAAAACTTGCCAAAATTCATTAAATAAATAAAATAGTTTATAAAACACAGTAGCGAGTGTGAAATCCTACTGCTAATGGTATCGCAATTGGCCATTAAATGTTTGAAGTATGTGGGTGTTAGCCGTCAGTTATACAACATAACCTTAAACTTATATGAGCTTTGGTTTTCTTGTCGTCCCAAACTCAAATTGTATTAGTTTAGTAAACGAAAACATTATTTACTGGTATGGATTCATAATACGACGAATTTAATCATGCTACTTTAATTGGATTATTTAAATTACTGGTTTGGTTAAGTAATGACAACTAATATAAACATAACATATATACAATGCAGACATTTACGCGCTGTTATATGCAAATAACAACATTCACTTCCTCCTATAAATTCAAACAGAGTTCTTATGAGGAGAGTTTTGAATGCGCAGAAGAGCCGGAAAATTGTGTCAAATATTCGCATCGTTTTTCATCATAAGCGAATTAATATTTAATAAAGTCTCCCCCATTGCCAGTATTTTACTAGCAAGTATAAAAAAGTTTAAAAAAGATTCAGGAAGCGCATTTTTAAGTGTCACACATACTCGATTATGGAAGGAAAAATGATTAAATATTCAAAAGTCCTGCGAAAATACGAGTAAAAAATGATGAATTCATCTCATGGAGAACTGTGCAGTGGGGAATTCAGTCATGTTTGTCGGTTTTAGTGATGAATTGTTTTTCGAAAGATGTAAATTCTATTATTTAAAATATATTAAAATGGAAAAACACGCATCGTACAAATATAGTTTTTTTTTTTGGAGGCATAACAGCGGAAAATAGGTTGATAAATGTTTCCACTTCCACTTGAATTGTTTGTCTGAAAAACTAATTATTTAAAAAATTCACAACCATAATTACTTCTATTAATTGCCTTTTAATATAAACAAAATTTTATTAATTTAATAGTTAATTAACATTTGCTTTTTATTTACAGTTTTGACCGTGATCAACCGTTTACGTTCCAAATAGGCGCTGGGCAAGTGATAAAAGGCTGGGATCAAGGACTACTTGATATGTGTGTTGGTAAGCTAATTTACAATTTTAAAGCTTTTATCTTTTTTGCTTACAAATTTATATTAATATTTTATTTTATTTTATTTTAGGTGAAAAACGTAAATTAGTTATTCCACCAGAGTTGGGTTATGGTGATCGTGGTGCTGGAAATGTTATTCCAGCAAAAGCTACACTCTTGTTCGATGTGGAACTCATCAACATAAGTCAATCACCACCAGCCACAAATGTATTCAAGGAAATCGATGAAAACAACGACAAGCAATTGAGCCGTGAAGAGGTAGTTATATATGTATGGATCTATTTTCTCTCATCATTAATTTGTATCTGTTCATATGCTCAATTTGGTGGATATGCGGTGATATCTAAAATATTTTAAAATTGGTTTGCGGTTCTTTACTTTGCCTCTTGGTAAAGGATACGATTGTTAAAAGTATATTACTTCATAACTATAATGCTTGTATGTGTAGTAATCTAACTTTTTGTGAAATTCTATCCGACCTTTCTTTCTAATTACTTATTCTGAAAATATTACTTTATTATGAAAAGTCAAATTTTTAAGACTAAGAAAAGATTTGGTTATTAAGTGTTTACCATCCTTGCAAACAGTGGAACTTTAAAGAAAGAGAGCGACAATTGGTTGTCTGATTTCGGGACGACAAGTAACTTTAGTTCAATAAGAGCTGTAATCAGAATATAATATATAAAGAACCGATACTATATAGTTTTTTTTCGAAAAATCTTAATTTTCTATTTTAAACTATGCCAACTGGAAAATTTATCATATAACGACCTCTCTTATATAAGGTAATCTATGTTAGGTTCTATACCACCTTTAAGGATATTATTTTTTGAAAAGATATTAGTACTGGATCTTGTAAAACACGTTGAATATTTTACGTGTCTTTGTAAAAAACATTAAATATTTGTCCGGTTTTAAATTGGGAAAAATTGATTCTTGCAAAAATTTTACTTTCATCTATTACGAAAATAAATTTTATACTGAATGAACGCGGTTAGTTTACTTGTATTCTTGTTAATTAATTGCCAGATCTGTTTGAAGAGCTCGAGAAAAAAATTCATCGTTATAATATAATAATAAATGCAAATATGAAAATATAATAACGCTTTTGTGAAACCGGTGAACATTTGTGAAGCTTTCATCAGATTTATGTAACATTTAATCCTGCCTCCATGTTCTTTAGAATTGTATGTATTAAATACTGATTTCATTCCCCATTCATTCCCCTCCTCTATTTGTTTAATATATACTGCATTCTATGCGAACCATTCCCATTCCCACTTCTACTTATTATTACTTTTCACTCCAAGAGGTTGAGCTAGTTTATCAAGACTGGTTACAAAATGCAGACTTCACATCTTTATGTAATACCTGATTGCGATACCAATTAGAGATATAGTAAAGAGATGAATATATGTTGGGCTTTAAAGTATACTTCTATAAAATCATTTGAATAAGTTATGATCAGAACTTAACGGCGCTGTTATTGCAGTGGATTATCCAAATGGTCACAGACACTATTGTGTAAAAATGCATTAAACACTAACTAGCGTTTGATCAAACAAAATAGAAGAAATAAATAGAATCTCAGTCCAGTGAGAAACTGCATTTGCATATATTTTAGTGAATAGAATTCACTAATTGAGTTGTAGTTATTAAAAATCTTCTAGGTACCATCGAATGCATACAATTATGCTACTTGTAGGTTTTTTCTCCCGATGTAGTGGAGAAGAAGAAAATTAAAAAAGAGAGTGAAAGATGATGTGCGAGAGAGGGAATAAGAGAAGAACAAGGTATGAAAAGAGACGAGTAAAAGAAGAGAGATAAAGTAAGATAAGTGAGATAAAGTAAGATAAGTGAGATAAAGTAAGATAAGTGAGATAAAGTAAGATAAGTGAGATAGATGTGGAAGGAAAGAATGAGAGATGATGAAAAGGGGAGGAAGGATCAACAAAGCATGATAGACAGACATAGAAGAGAGTGGCAGAGTTTAATGGAGAAAGTGGGAAGAGAAAGGCAGAATGTGAAAAAGTGAGAAAGGGAACGAAAAAAAAAACTAGTACAAAAGAAAGAATCCGTATTATTCTACAGTAGAATATCAAAAACTCATTTTATTCGTATTTAGTGATTAACCATTCAATAAACATAATTAATTTATAAGTATTTAGTGATTAACCATTCAAAAGTCACTTGACTGACTTTATTTCAACAATTCAATTAATATTATATTTTAATATTATTGTAACTAAACCATATCGTTTAAATTTCCAGCTTCTATTATGTTTTTCTGTTAATATACAATTTTTATTCGCTATGATATCTACATCCCTATTTTAATATTCAATTTCACAATTCTTTTCTTCTGCCATTTAGGTCAGCGAATATTTGAAGAAACAAATGACAGCCGTCGAAGGACAAGATTCAGATGAACTAAAGAATATGTTGCGTGAAAACGACAAACTAGTAGAAGAAATCTTCCAACATGAAGACAAAGACAAGAACGGTTTCATTTCACATGATGAGTTCTCTGGTCCCAAGCACGATGAACTCTAATCATTTCACACATTCAAAACATTCGCACAATTTATTATGAGAGGACTGACGTCGCGTACTGATTTTAGACGTGACGCTTGAAATTAACAAAATGTCAAATGAACAAAAAACTTCTTAAAATCTAATTTTATACAATATATGTAATATATATAATTTGAAATTTTGTTAATATAATTCGCTAAGTTCTTCCTCAACTAGATTTACTCACAAACTATTTTAATAAATTGAGGTTCTACAGTTGTGCTTAAAAAAATTTAGTTAGTGTTATTTACCTTCTATAGATGTACTTTTATGAGTGCATATATAAAAAAATATAAAAATTATTATAATTAAATTATGCATACTTCAGTAAATTTTTCAATTTCAGACTACATTAGTAAACTTCATTAAAGTTTTTATTTGTTTAATTTTAGTCATTATTTTTATACCAGTTATAGCCTAAAAATTTTACACACATTTTTACTAATGTTAGTTGTTAAATTTGTAATTTATGTTGTAATAAATATGTTTGAGTGAAAATCCATTTTGCATAAAAACAAACAATTTTATAATAAAATAAAGTTATAACAAATTATATTTTAATTGTGTCGTAATATTCGTTTTAATTTCAAGTATTTAATTTAAGAGTAGCTCAGAGTTCAAAACTATATGACATTATTTTATGAATAATAAAAAGCTACCGACGTAAGTTAAAAGAAACGTTTTGTTTTAAACGATCATTACTGGTTAATTAACTAATAAGTATAATCTTAGCGCTAAAAGAACTTCTTTTTTATGTTGTTTCAGATATTCAGAATATATTTAAACAGTACAACTGTTTTGAGAGTCAGCCTTTGCAACAAAAATGAACTATGCAAATTACTTGAAAGATAGAACGTATTTCCTTAAAGTATATTTCCACTGTCTTCGTTAGACCAGTTAACTTACTTGAGATTCAAGTAATTCAAGCAATCTTAAGTAAGTTAATTAGTCTAACGAATCCAGTAGAAACATACTACTAATCTAAGAAACAAACAAAATTATATGAGGGGAGAGTATGTCTATTTTCATTTTTTATCGAGATGTAGAATATCATAGAAATACCTATCTGAAAAAATATACAGTAAAAAATGGTTCATCGAAAATAATAATATTCTTTAATGGTTTTTCAATCACCTACGGCTATGCACAATTTTACTATATAACTCTTTGTCATAGGCGAATTTATTAAACATAAAACGGACATCGTATTGCAGGATTAACCCTAAGCAAATGGCGAAGTTATTATTACGAAAAACAAATTAAACTCTATTTTAATTCTATTGGTATGACTTCAAATGGCCATAAAAGTCACATAAGCATAGTCCAATGAAACTGTATTTAAAACCAGAAGGATGGATATCCTGAAAATTATACTGGTTATTTGCTAATCAAAAAAACATTTCTCTTGGAGATATTTTACTACATTACACTTCTAAATTGCTATCCAAAAAAGTGAAATAGAATTGTCGCTATAAGCTTGAAAATGCGTGATTATTCTATTCCCCACACCTGGCTATGGCCATGATCAGCTCTGTTAATAGTCCTTGATCAATTATAATCATCGTTACAATATTGTAGAAAGTAGTATGCATGACGGATTGCAAAGACGAGATACGAGACTTGCGTGATAAACCCTACTATCAAATAGGATATGGCAATGTAAAACAAAGCATATTGGTAGCCAAGTGATCGCAGGGCTTGAAGCGGGCTACTACAATCACAATAAACTAGACAGCGTGTAATATATCGCTTTTTATTTTTATTTTTTAGGAATATCTACTATATTTCTATGTATTGTGTTTAAAAAAGTATAATATATATAAACTTATTAGTTAAAGATCTCTCTGATCTTAAATAAGAATATCTATATCGGTTTCAGGATATGAAAACCTTATATCTGAGTTAACTAAAACGAATAAAGAAAAGTCATAGTATTTTTAACTGGATTTTGGCCTTAATAAAATAGGTAATATATATGGGAAGAAGGGTGTCGAAACACTATTCAGAAAACCAGAATTATTATCATCAATAAAATGAAAGTAATTTACAATCCTAATTCACAAACATTCCAATATCTCTTAAAGCACAAAAATTGCAAATACCGAATATATCACCGAAAATGTTGTTTCTTCATCAACTACTACCTGAGAAGAATATGAGGTATTTTTGGCCAAATGCGATAAGACACGATGATTAATAAGCCCATTTAAATAGAAATTGAAGACGTGGATGATATTAGAGACCGCACTGTCCGGAAAAACAACCACATAAGAGGCTGAGAAAACTTGCACAATGGGATAGGATGGGGATAGTGAAGGATTTTAAAATAGAAATAAGAAAGCGAATAGGTAGAAATGTTGCAACTAACCTGAGTTTAGATATAAAAATCTTGTCGAATCTGGGCGAAATCGTAACGCAAAAATCTATGGGTACATTTGGACATAAAAACATATAGCTGATGTCTACAATTGAGATAAAACTGTTCTTGAAACACACTGAAGATATTCTTCATCCCCAGAACCTTTAGACGGTGAACTATTTAGAGCTTCGTAGTAATGTTATAAGGCGTAGTATAGAGACCCGTACAGAAGACCGCAATAATATTATTTTGAATATTGTGATTCTTAATCAAAGATAAAAAGTAACAAATACGATTAGGATGGGGATGCACATATTAACAACGCCAATGCAATGAAATCTTGCCAATGCAAGACCTTAGAAGCCAAGTAAAATCAACAACTGCACGGGAAAGTACGGGGATTAATGCAATTCAACATCAATAAACATAATTTAGAGCAGTCCTTGGTAACTCATATAGCTAAAAAGAACTTGTTTCTGTCCTATACTCCATATGAAAGAAACAAACCGTGTTGGTATTCATATCCACAGACTTACCAAGGAAATAAATTAATATAACAGTTCATGTAGTTAAATTGGGAGTGTTTCTATGAAGGCAACATCTTAAATCTGACAGGTACCAATATTAGCAAAATTCTTTTTTCAACTAAGTACTTAAAGTTAACAATGAATATCATCATGTACATAATATTAAATATATTTATTCCATTATTATAAATGAAAGAACTTCAGGAAAATATTAAATTAATTTGTAGTCTTGAAATATATGTTAAAATTAGGACAATATTAACACGGATTGAATATGTAAACTGGTTCGATTGTTATACTTATTGAAGTGTTTGTTATTTCATTCAACCTGACATATAATATACCAACACTATATGTTCAACCTTTCTACTGATAACTATGTTATATATTTGCTACACTATTTATTTAAAATGTATTTAATTAATGACATATGATACTGTCTACTTGCAACTAATGAATTTATATTGATGATTTCAATGCATTTAATGATAAAGTAAAATTGACAATCACATTTTTAGATTTAATAGTTAAAATAAGTTTTATTGAATACAATAGTTATATTTAAACAAGTATATACACAATGTACGTAGATATATTTAATTACAGTTTAATATTAACTAACTAAAAAATTGAATTTATTATTTTTAAAATAAGCTAACAACTTACACATTTTGATTTCAATAAAAGTGTAAATAACAGGAAACATGTTAAAACAATAACTTTTATAGATAACACCATCCCTTTTAAAAGAATTAATTAATTTAATTATTCATGAACTCTTTACATACCCATCAAGCACACAGCATTAAATATATTTTACGTTCTTAAATGAACGCCATTTGTTGGCCTCCTGTGATTGCACTTCATTCTGTATTCATATAACAAAATTTTTAAACATGCTTCTTCTTATTGCAGAAATGTTAACATGCTTCTTCTTATTGCAGAAAACTAAACATTTAATATATAAAATATTAATTCTAATACAATTGCATCTTCAATGCCAGATGATTCACTATGTAGTGTGGCAATCAAATGGTTGTCCAAAGCGTTCATATACAAAGGTGGTAATTTACTACCACGTGTACCAGCTTCATAGCAAACCTATAAGAAAAAATAATTAAATAATAATATAATAAAAATATGTATATTTATTATTTATACATTATCCTGATGCAAAGTTGTACGCAAACCAATCTTTGTACTTCCACTTGCAGCAAGTAAATCCAAAAAGGGTACTAAAGCCATCGAAGTGCTCCTTGCAATTTGTTCGGCAATTCTAGTAATGTCTGTTGAAGTAGCGCTTAACTGTGATGAAGTGGAATTATACCACTCATCGTACTGCATATACAAATATAGAAAAAAATAATCATATTAAAATTAATCAAAATAAAACAATATTTGAAGTAGTGCCATGTTCAAGTAGTATGATGTTGAAGCAGTTTGAGAAATCCAAAAAAATTGACTATCAGCTGTGATTCGAACAATTTCTTCCTCCTATTAACACAGACTGACTGCCTTTGTCAGTAAAACCCTCTCTTCATATTGCAAAAAAAAACATTGACAGTTTCCACTGAGCCAACATTAGTAGGGTCACGAGAAGTATTGCAACAAAGTTCTTAACAGGCTTCCGTCTGAAATCTCTAATAATGAAAGACGTCTTCTTCTTACATATATTGTCCTCAACATTCACTTATTATGAAATAATATATCAATTTCCAACGTTAACTCTATTCATGATATAAACTATTTGTTCATATACCACAATCAATACACTAATTTGAGACCTATTAATTTATAACTCTATTCCATCAATGTAGCTCACCTTAAATCTGACTAATATCAAGTAGCAACTTCCCATATCTTTACCCTTCCCCTACTTTCTCTTATCCTAACCAACGTATTCATTCCGTATGACATTCGAATTTTCTGCCATACAGTCCCTTTCAGGTTATTCGGATTATTTGAATTATTCGAGTATATTTGAATTATTCGAGCTATTCGAAGAAGTTCTAATTATTCTAACAGTTTATGTACTCAATTTTTGATGATGAATTGAATGTTATTTCATATTTTGTTTTTGTTTTAAAGAAGTACGTTTAATCGCAAGAACTCAAACGTAATAAATTTTCAAATGGCTCAAGCATACTCAAACATTAAAATACTTAAAGCTCTATTTTGAATAGAAAACTTATAAAATAGAAGTATTACCTTTATAATGTAGATATCTGTTAGACGTATTAAATAATTCGTGTTTGAATAGTTGAAACTGGCATGAACCCGCATACTCGATGTTCCTTCCATAGACATTTCATCTATAGGTGATTTTACGCTGTAATTTTTAGTAAATATGAGTTTATAAATTAAATTATTTGTAATATAAGTCAACTCTTACTTAAGATTAAAATCGCGATCGTTATCAACCCATTTGATACTAACAACTTCTGTGTTTTTC